CGAAAAAATTCCTGGGTACGGCCCTGATCACACCCGTGTCATGATTATCATGTTTGAACCTAGTCAGATACGTATGTGAACCATAGACGTCACGTAACACCAAAGTTGTTATATGTGAAGCTTGAGAAATGAGCGTGAGTGCACTATGAACGTGGCGTGAAGTCATTACTTACATAACAACCTTGTCATGATTTCCACGTTAGGGCCTGTCACTTAAGTTCATGCACCATGCAATCATGTCATGCCATACCACTTTTGCAATTTTTATTGTTAAGGAAATCACTTAAAGAGCAACAAGACTATGATATGTAAATCAGGATAGTCACCACACACATGTGATGATTTTTATGATATGATTTTTACTTAGGCTCGTCAAACAGTCCTGTTATATAATGCGAATTTTGGTATCCCATTATCTAAACGGCCAGGACAGCTAAATGTCGTAGGTGACAAGATAGATAGATAGATAGATAGATAGATAGATAGATAGATAGATAGATAGATAGATAGATAGATAGATAGATAGATAGATAGATAGATAGATAGATAGATAGATAGATAGATAGATAGATAGATAGATAGATAGATAGATAGATAGATAGATAGATAGATAGATAGATAGATAGATAGATAGATAGATAGATAGATAGATAGATAGATAGATAGATAGATAGATAGATAGATAGATAGATAGATAGATAGATAGATAGATAGATAGATAGATAGATAGATAGATAGATAGATAGATAGATAGATAGATAGATAGATAGATAGATAGATAGATAGATGGATGGATGGATGGATGGATGGATGGATGGATGGATAGTAGATAGATAGATGGATGGTGCATGGATTGATGGATGGATGGGCGGGCGGATGGAACCACCGCGATAGATATTGTTTTCACTCTTCTCCCGCGTAAGGCTGTGAACCGGACGCTTTTTTTGCCTTTACTTGTACCTTTATCCTGCATGTGTATAATCATAATTAAAGTAAACAGAAAGTGAAATTCACGAAAGATGTTCAGTCTTCGAGTGAGAACGACGCGTACTGACGAGAACGAACGAGAACACACGGCACACGTGCTATGTCTGTCTTTCAATCAATCAATCATCAATCAATCAATCTATCTATCTATCTATTATCTATCTATCTATTTATCTATCTATCTATTTATCTATCTATCTATTTATCTATCTATCTATCTATGAATGTTTATTTGATCAAGTTAATAAAAAATATGGCTACATAAATATTTGAACCATAAGCCTGTGTGGCTAGTCACTGGTCTAATTTATTACATGAGTATTTTGGTACATGTTAGGAGCAGAGGTGCAGTTAATACGACTATGAATCTTAACACTAATTCAATAAAAGAATAGCTTCAAAGTATATAATATATACATATATACACTCTAGAAGAAATACAAAATCGCTACTATATTCTAGGTAGACGAGCAATGAGGAACAGCTTAAGGCATACGTTCTAAGAATGCGGGACATTGGATACTAGAAAAAAATTATGTGCAAGTTTTTTGGGCAAGACTGCGTTGAAGAAACAAAATGTAATTTTCAAAAAAGGAAAGAAAAATATATGCAAGGTGAGTCGTAAAAAAAGTATGGACGTGAGCTTTAGTGAAGAGCATCATTCGTTTACAGCGTACATTTTGCAGGTCTAAATAAAGTTGCGTGCAAGTTTAGTTTCAAGTGATATTGCGTTCTAGATTTAGCACCAGTGAACTGAATTAACCTTCTGCCATATAGAGTCACACAGTTAGGCAGGTTGAAGTTTCCATTGCCTGCACGCCTTGTGTTACCGGTCGGAGTTGCAAACCTGCAAACAGGCACTGGAAAGTCAGTGGTAACCACCACATACTAGTAAGTTGGTGTCTGTACGTGCTGTTTTTCACTTCGGTATGAACAAAAAACTAGCTCGACATGTGTTATTCCACTCTGTCTGAGAGGCGCCTGCAAGCGTGCCGTTAGCGGAAGCGAATAACTGCGTGTTCACAATTCACCTCTAATGGAGCGAAAGCGGCTAAACTCTCCGGAAACTGCCTCGTTTTACCGCCCAAGCGGCCGGAAAACCACGCCATGCGGCGTGCCAAAATTGGTCCGAGACTTATTTTCCCGCCACGTGAAGGCACAGCTGGTTTTTGCATCGCGGCTTCGGCTCGTTATATCAAACCACGTGATCTAAACATTCGGACGCAAATTCAACACGGTGGCAAAAGCGTCGGAGGAGGCTCGCATCGGCTCAAATCGCAAACTATACCATGCAGCACGATGAAGCTTGACGGCCTCAGCGAGGACGCGTTCAACAGGACCCTGGTTTCCATTACGATTGCCGAGAACTCTGGAAATTGACGGTGTAGGAGCAGCGAGTATGTGGGCATGCCCCAACGTGTCTGCGTTTGTGTGCATGATCGATACGTAGCAATTATCCAACTTTAGCTTCGATAACTCATTATATTCAGCAGTCGTCTCTATTATCCGATAGGAAAGGGAAACTGTGGTCGATAAATGTGTATGCGTGTATTTGTGTGTGTGAACGAGCTTTTCTTTCGCGCTGTGTGTTTGTCTGTATCATTCAATGTGCTTGTTGATTCGCTTTCAAGTCAACTTTTAAAAGGGCCCCGCAACACCTTTTGAGCATGGTCGAAAATGCTGCCGATTGGAGAACACGCGAACCAAGTATTACAGCGCCGCAACCGCTCTGGATTTCACAATTATTTATCAAGGTCAGGTAAATTTTATTTTTCTTCTCTCGACGAATGACGCTACTAGATCAAATTATTCATAACGGTTGTTGTATCAGCCATCTGATAATTTGAGCATGGCATGCTCGGTCGTTACGGGGGCCATCGTGGAAGGCCACGACTTGTCCATGCGTACGTGCGCAATTGCACTGAAAAGCCGCGCATTCGAAGAAAAAAAAAAGAAGTGCGTAAGGTCACAAGGTGCACGTGACGTATTTTTTTTCCCGTGCCATCCATTCTTGCTTAGCTTCCAGTGTTTTCATCGGGACGAGAGAAAAGAGAATGCAATTGCAACCTGCGACAACTCCTTGAAACTTCCGTTCGTACTGGACGTATTCTAAAAATTTTTGTAGCGGTAAATTCTTAAGGCAGTAAACTGCTTTAGCGTCTACATTTCATACCTAGTTTAAATGGTGTTGCAAGGCCCGTTTAATAGTTTTTCTTTCTCAACGCATGTCACAATAATGAGGTTATATTGATGAAAAAAGACCCTACTTTGCAGGAATGCTTCATGACTCGGCTCGACCTTCCCATGGAAAACGAGAGAAAAGGCAACGCCGTCTTGCATTGGATTTTCGAGGTCATTCGGCCATGAAATATTCAATCTGTTCGGAAGGAGTTTCTGTATTAAATCAGTCAACTCGTTCGTGTACATATCAAAGCGAGTGCGCTCAGTAGGATTTGTTGCTGAGGGCCCTTTTTATCTGGTGGTCTTAATAAAGTGAATATTTATTACGGGACTTCCTTAGAGGGAACCTCAGATATGATTCGAAATCTATAACAGAAGCGGCTACCTTTCACTTGGACAAATACCCCAGTAATATTGGGTGTAAAACACATAACCAAAATGTATGAATACTTTCTCGTGGTGTCATTCCTCGGAAGTGTGGCAGCTTGGGCTAGTTGGTGTGACATGACGATAGTTATAGCGCGAGAACAGAACGATGACACAGAGACAAGAAGGACACAAAGGACACGAGTGCTCGTGTCCTTCATGTCCTCATTGTCTCTGTGTCATCGTTCTGTTCTCCCACTATAACTATCGCCATTCCATCCCTCGCCAGTGGCAACGGCAGCCTGCTCTAACTAAGTGGGAATTAAGCAAAAAGAAATCGTAGGTGGGGAAAATACTTGCTTAACAAATCCTACCACCCGTTCTCTACGTACCCCTTGAGACGTTCTGCGAAGGTGGCGTGCAAGAGAGCACGCAGCCAATGGTTTTTTTTTTCAAAACACGTACTTTATAATAGTCTGCCACCAGTGCAAATTTTGTGATGAAATGGCAAATTTGGTCCACATAGTGTGAACATGTGCGAGATAGAACGACGCTTCACACACTGATACGCTCTGCTCCTCAGCGCAGACGCCAACGTCACAGTTATACATCATCAGTGAAGCCCTTGCTGCTGCCTTGTCTCAAGGGATTTCGGCCGGCAGCTAAGGGCGACGGACAATGCCTGACGTTATAGATCGATTTTGCAAAATGAAGTTTTTCTTCGTCTTCAAAAATATTCAAAATATTGCAATCATTTTCGCGGGGTTCTAATGGTCATTGTAACAATATTCTGGGAAGCTGTGCTGTGGTACTGCAATCCTCTCAGTACGTTGTATTGGGCAGCTGCTCTATAAACCTGAAGTCAATTAAACTAGTTTTTTTGTACATGTATATTGCCTTTTTTTCATCCGCCTGTGCCGCTGCCGCTTACAAGAGATGGCCGTTCTGCTGACGTCCCCAAATTCCTATAAATATTACCACTGTCTTCCAATAACCACCCGGCACAGCTAAATACGCAAATAAGTGCGCAGCGGCCATTTCAAGTCTCACAACAACTCGCACAAAGCCTGGCAGAATAGGCATACAATTATTTCGGGCTTTACGGTTGAAACACGACGATTAGATTATAATCACGTATCAGCGTCTGTGTTCGTTATCGTGCACATAAACTTACGTGCGCAGGGCCTTTGGCGTTTCGACGCGTCCTCCACGACCGCGGCGCGATCCCGCGACCTTGCAGTCAGCCATTGAGCACCATATTCTCTACACCATTTCTGCGTGTGGTGGAGTTAGCACTTCGCAAAGACGGCCTTCAAGACTAAAACTGATGCTGGTGTACTTTCCTGTCTTAAGAACTGAACTGGTGAGCAGAGAGCTTGAACATTCGCCAGAGAGGCCACCTGTTCACGGAACGGCTTATCAGTGCTTTCTTGCTTCTCATGTATGCCGGACTGCATTTCTCGCAGGTTCACGGGAATATCGCCATTTGAACTACGATCGAATAACTACACTGGGTGTCTTTCAAATATCTCCGTATTAGGCCAACCAGGAAGTTGAACATGCAGGAGCCATATTAAGTACTATTGGAATTCTCAAAAAGCCGGCAAAACAGTCGACGTAAATTATGGGGTTTTACGTCTCAGAACCTCGATATGATTTTGATGAACCCTTTAATGAAGAGCTCTAGAAATTCTAATCACTTAGGATTCGTCAGCGTGCTTGCAAAGAGGGTTCATCTTAAAATGAGGACAACGCATTGAACAATGGAAAATAAAATGGCAGGTGCAGCCTCAAGGAACAAGAAGAAAGCGCATTTGATCAGGAAACAAAGTTGTGGTAAGGGGATTTTAGCTGAAATTTAAAAAAAATGGAAATGAACAGGGCATGTGCAGCAAAGGCAAGATAACCGCTGGTAATTAACAGTAGCAGACTTGACTCCAAAAGTAGGCAAACGCTCTAAGGGGAGACAGAAAGTTCTGTGGGCAGGTGAGATTTAGAAGATTGGAGGTGTAACATGGCAACAGGAAGGAAGGAAAGTAGGAGGAAAAGAACGGCAGAGAGGTTAACCAGTCTATAGGTACCCGGTTTGCTACCCTGTGTATGGGAGGGGGATGGGGGAGATGAAAGATAAAGAGGAGAGAGGGAAGAGAGATAAACACAGCACAATAAGCAGCCCACGCAGGACTGGGTTTATTGGCGGAGCATGGGAAGGGCACTTTCCCGGCAGCGGGCTTAGTCATGCTTATGATTACAGAGCTGGTGATGGTGGTAGTTATCATGATGATAATCAATGTTCACCTACATCCAACTAAACAGGCCTCTAGCAGTACGCTTCCAAAATAAGTGGTCGCCATGGCCGAGACGCGATTCCTAGACCTTCGGATCAGCATTCGAGCATAGCTGCGTGCAGAATTGACGCTTCGCAAAGACAGCGCCGATGACAAAATCCATGAAGGGTACACTTTCCTGCCAGGACAGGGTGAAAAATGAGATACTTATGTACTTCAGAAACAAAGGCTTGGCTGTTCGTTAGTATGCCCGCTAGCTACGTAAACGACCCCGGCTTCCATCCCCACTCCTGCCCCGAATTTTTGTTATTTGTTTTTTTTTGCAACTTTCTCAGTTTCTCGGTCACGAAAAGACGTTTTTTTTTTTACTCACAACCAGCGACACAGACGTCTGGATTTATCACGTTAAAATAAATAAGTTTTCACCACCACAATTTCTCGTTGTTTTTTTTTCATGCAAAGATGGTAATTTTTCGCTCACAAGCCACGACGCCGACGCCAATATTTCTGCCAAATGAGCTCTCTCACGCTATCACGTTAAGAAACACCTAACCTCCTTAGGTAACAAAAATATTTGACAGATAATAAACGTTTACTAATGCAAGTCTACTTCAGTGGTCTTTGGAAGACAGACTTGCAACTCTATTGCCTAAGGGCAGCATGTGCAGTCGCTGAGTCACAATAAACCTACTGCGACAACCTCTGCAGGCGGCTGAAATTCTTTGCCTCGTCCCAGAGCTTCGCATTCGAACAAAGAAACTACCTAATTAATTTCTCTTTTCCACGAGAGCTGTCAACATGCAAGGAAAACGTTTTCAGACGCGTTCCACTCCTACGGCGCTTATGGCTTTACACTCTTTTTTGAAACTTTCGATGTGTACACTGACTGCAAGTATGCCCACAAACGAAACACGCCCAATATTTTACAGCGAAAGCTATTATGAGATCACAAGTGTTGCGTTCAGTGCCGCATAGTTGTCTGCCGCCACCGCCGGTGTCCATAACCACTATCACACGAAATAAGAAAAAAACTTCATAATTCAAAACACCAAGGACACAATAGAACGCAAACCCAGGTCCCAGCGTGCCAGCCCAGTATTCTACCAATGAGCCATGCCGGTGCTTGAGACTTTCTTGCAAACTGGCCTTAGGCATGCCTCATGTCGGGTAAGGAATCTTGTTAACATGAGTAATAAAGAGTTTTAAAACAGAAAAGGAACAACTAGGAGTCACTTAAGGCTAATTGTGCAACTAGTTGTTCGGGGAATACTCCTACCCATTACAAAAGCTTAGTCTTGTTCCCCTATTAACTCAGTGGATACCCACTGTGGGCGATTGTGTGGAATACAAAAGCTTCTGGCACAATTCTTCATCCTACTCAGCACTGACAGAAAATAATTGCATAGTATTCATTTGAAGTGTGAAACAGGTACCGCACTTCTCCGAACATTGTCGAAGGGTGGCATAGTCAATGCCTGGCTACCACGCAATGAATGATTGTGTCATGGATACCCTTCCGATGTTCTGGCAGCAGCTACCCAAAGAGTGCTAAAAAAGGATCTGAAAGGCCTCTCTTCCAGCATTCGATGTGATAGTGCTGCGCGTTTTCCGCAAGCCTGGCGGTTTTTGTTTGCAACAGTGAATATAGCCAATATTTATTGTCACTTACTAAAATCTAGCGACCAGTGTGCAATATAGACAAGAGTTGCTGATAGTTCACTGACGTCATTTAACATTTGTCATAAATCTAGCCAGTACTACACCGGCTAACAAAAATCGGCATCTGAAATGTGCCGTTAAGATTCGTTCAGATGCAGGAGCCAAATATGGTCATGAATATTTATCGTACTCCACTTTGGTGGATAGAAGTGATCAAGGTAGACCACTTTGCAAACAAACTGCCTTTTTATGGTCATCAGGTCGGAATGTGATTTTTGCAATAATACTGCCAAATAGTTAATTACTGATCGCAGAGGAACACCACACTTTGCTTTGTTCACACCAAAAAGGATTAAAAAAACTTTTTAAACATATTTGGTCCACACACTAACGAGGACAGTCAGCATGACAGACGGAATACAGTTAAGCTTTGTGATGGATTTGAAAACCTGAAGCTGGACCGTTTTCCTTTTAGTCCCATTTTCCTCAAACACCCACCCGGTTATTCTTGCGTCGTAAAGTAAAATACTCGACTCAAAGCATGTTCCTTGCTCCATGGATGAATGCATGCTGTGAGCGGCCCCTTTATAACAAGGCGGTGGCATCTGTGTCACCAGGCTTGCAAAAAAAACGAAAACTATCCTTTTATGTGGGCCTGGTGTCTTATCTATTTCGACTAAATATCTTATTTTAACAAAAAAAAGTAGATTCAGATTCATCTCTCTGCCTCTTCAGGCCGAATGACCTCATTTTCTCGCTATTCCTGTACTTTATCTCTACTTTTCATTCACCAATACTCTAACCGTCTCTTACTTGCTTCTATTGCGGACGTGTTCAGCTTCCAACGGTTGTCCCTAAAACCCAAAGCCTCGTGTAGACTTGCATCCACACGTATACTTGTGTAGATATCGCCACAGTCAATTGGAACAGGTTCCATCGTTTTGTTAGCTCCCCGACAGCATAAACACTGTTCTTCTTATTTATTGTTGAAACTTGCTTTATGACTACTCTTTCTAAGCCAACCCGACCTCAATTCGAACAGTGAAGCGCTTCCCTTTGAATTTTCATAAACCCCATCCCTCCTTCATTCGTTTTTTACCGTTTCGGTAGTTACTAAGAGCCGGCTTCTTTTCCATCGCTCTCATCCAATAAGTCATCTACGCCTCTCTGACTTTTCGCGTAATGCTCATTGTTGCCATATCGCCCACACAACCAGCCGTTTATTTATTGGTGAGCCCGCTAGTTTTTTTTCTGCACTTTGTTTTCACACTCTTTCTGAATACCTGAGCACCTTGCCTGCCTTCTACTCTCCTTCATTTTTCTAAGCTTCTCTTCAAATCTCATTGTGCTCCGATCTTCTGTGAGCCTGTCCATCTCATATCCCCCTTTACAGCCTTATTCGTCGTCTTCCCGTGAGCACCCAATGCGAGGCATCCCACAGTCCTTTCATATATGCATACATTCCTGGTGGATTCAGAGCCTGAATGTCCAGCAAGATGGAATGTACAACGAGACGGAATGTCCAATGGGTCACGTGACTGGCGAAACTGGATGTCCAACGAGACGAAATGTCCCATTGAGACGAAATGTTCAACTAGAATAAATGTCCAAAGAGACTGAGTATCCAACTGAAACGGAGAGTCCAACGAGACTGAATTTCCAACGAGACTGAATGTCCAACCCAGACGGAATGTCCAACGAGACAGAATGCCAAACGAAGACTGTATGTCCTACGAGAAAGAATGACCGACCGAGACGAAATGTCCAACCGAAACAGAATATTCAATTTAATAGACAAGAATGCGCCTTAGTTCAAAATTTGTCAGGCAACTTTTTGGTGGAGATAGCCTTACGAAATAAGGCATTTTCGTGCGCTTTGGAAAAATTGGTTCTCTGTGGCATTGGGAGTCGTATCCTTGTTTTCCAATTCATTTTTCACTGCATTCAGCCTTATTTTAACTTTTTTAGTTTGCTTTTTATATTCTATTTATTTTAGTGTGGATATTAAATACTTACTTTATTCGTTTACCCTGTCATTTCTTTGCGTACTACAAGAACGTTTAGCGTATATATTAGCGTTTGGGTGCTCTCATGGTCACCCCCTTAACTTGGCGTGAACCAAAATTAGCATGGGAGGGTGAGATGTGTATCGTTAGCGCGATTGAGCAAGGCATGACGAAGGGGTGCGATGGGAAGAAAAGCCTCTATTTTTATTGTAGCAGTGCTTATATACCGAGCGAGACAAGAAAGGGTGCGTACCCTCACCGCACTATCGTATCAAAGGGGGTGGGTTTGACACGAGGCACATGCTGCGCGAGATATGATACATCCTCCTTGGTGTATAAAACAGTTGACAGGTGAACACGACTGGGACGCTCACAAAATGTTAAGCACTCATTCACGGCACTTGAACAAAGTTCTCGTTGTAAGCCAGCCGTCTGGGCGCTTTGCGTTGTCGCTGTGATCTTCTTGGAGCTTGTGTAGCTGTTGCGCCCGGGATCGGGGCCGCGGGCATGTACCCCGGCAACGCGACTGGAACCTCA